AGTCCTTGACATCGTGGTTCATTCGATGAGATCATCGTGGAACATGTGGGAGACAACATGGGTATCCAGATCCCGCTGTTGGTTATTGACCGGAGAACGTCTCGGTCATGTCTGCATGGTTCCCGAACCCGTAGGGTCTACACACTTAAGGTTCGATGACGCTAGGGTTATAAAGGAAGTTTGTATGTGGTTACCGAATGTTGTTCGGAGTCCTGGATGAGATCCCGGACATCACGAGGAGTTCCAGAATGGTCCGGAGGTAAAGATTTACATATGGGAAGTCCTGTTTTGGTCACCGGAAAAGTTTCGGGTTTTTTCGGTAACGTACCGGGACCACCGGGAGGGTCCCGGGGGTCCACCAAGTGGGGCCACCATCCCCGGAGGGCTGCATGGGCCAAGTGTGGGAAGGGACCAGCCCTAGGTGGTCTGGTGTGCCCCCCACAAGGGCCCAAGGCGCCTAGGGTTTGGGGAGGGGGGGCTTCCACCTAACTTGGGGGGCAAGTTTCCCCTCTTCCCCCCCATTGGCCGCCACCCTTAGATGGGATTGGGGCTGCCGCACCCCTTGGGGTGGAAACCCTAGAGGGGGCACACCCCCCTCCCTCTCCCCTATATATAGTTGAGGTCTTGAGGGCTGCCAACACATGAGTTTTGGCCTCTCCCTGGCGCAGCCCTACCTCTCTTACTCCTCCTCTCCCGCGGTGCTTGGCGAAGCCCTGTAGGATTGCCACGCTCCTCCACCACCACCACGCCATTGTGCTGCTGCTGGATGGAGTCTTCCTCAACCTCTCCCTCTCTCCTTGCTGGATCAAGGCATGGGAGACGTCACCGGGCTATACGTGTGTTGAACGTGGAGGTGCCGTCCGTTCGGCACTAGGATCTCCAGTGATTTGGATCACGACGAGTACGACTCCTTCAAACCCGTTATCTTGTACGCTTCCGCTTAGCGATCTACAAGGGTATGTAGATGCACTCTTCTTCCCCTCGTTGCTGGTTTCTCCATAGATAGATCTTGGTGACACGTAGGAAAATTTTGAATTTCTGCTATGTTCCCCAACACCTGTTAACCCCAAGAATCCTCGTAGCTCAGTCACATTTGTTGGTATAGGACAATTGACCATAGCTTCTGTTTTTGCAGGATCAATAGCTACACCCTTGTCAGAGATGATGTGGTCCAAATATTCCATGGACTGCTGGGCAAACACACACTTACTTTGTTTCACATATAACTGATTTTCAGCCAGAATTTCAAACACAGACCTCTAATGCTGAACATGCTCTTCCAGAGTGATGCTGAATACCAAGATATCATCCATGAATACCAACACATATTTTCTGTTAGGCCCTGCCATAAACACATTCATATTACATTGAAATGTGCCTGAAGCAGTAGCCAGTCCAAAAGGCACCACCCTGAATTGGAGCTGGCCATGGTGTGTTTTAAATGTTGTCTTGTGCTCATCTTCCTCCTTCATTCGAATATGATGATATCCAGCTTTTAAATCTAGTTTTGAAAACCACTTAACACCTCCTAACTCATCCAGTAATTCATCAATTACTGGTAGGGGAACTTGCTCTTTATGGTAATGTCATTCAGCTTTCTATAGTCCACACAGAACCTCCAAGTTCCATCCTTCTTCTTTACCAGGAGAACAGGAGAAGCAAAAGGACTAATGCTTGGTGTGATTAACCCAGCTTTCAGCATTTTAGACACCTGTCTCTCTATTTCATCCTTCTGTAGTGGAGAGTACCTGTATGGTCTGCAATTAACAGGGACAGCCCCAGGGATTAGGTGAATGGCATGATCCAGTGGTCTGTGAGGAGGTAATGTCTGAGGATCCTTGAACACAGTGTTATGTTGTTGCAGTAATTCTTGTACAGCAGGAGGTACTAGTGTTTCAGGTGCCATTACAATTCTGTTTAACACAACAGTGGCCCAAACTTCATTGCCTTTCTCCCATTTTAATAGTTGTTATGCTGTTACTTCTTTAATTTCTGCTGGTGTGACACGAATTACACCTTGCATCTTTACCTCATGTCCTGAATATTTGAATTGGATCCACTTCTCTGCCCAGTGACATTGCATCACTCCCCATTGTTCTAGACAATCCATGCCCAGAATAATATCATGTCCTCCAAGAGGAAGCACATGCATTGCATTTGTGAAGTTGTGTCCCTGAATCCACCAGGTTAACTGAGGCACTCTTTCAGAGCATTGAACCTGTTCCCCATTAGCCACTTTGACCTGCATAGGTCTAGCCAACTTTTCTGTAGTAACCGACACCCTGTTGAGCAGTGCCTGGTCCACAAAAGTGTGGGTGCTCCCTGAGTCCACTAAGATGAGCACCACCTGGTTCCCCACTAAGGCCCTCAGTTGTATGGTTTTTGGATGAGCTGCTCCTGACAAGGCAGTAACTGAAATAGTAGCACAGTCTGCTGTATATTGATCAATGAGAGCATCCAATAGAGCATCTGAAATTATTTTGTTCTGCACCACTGTTTCTGTTGTTTTAGTTGAGCGTCAGCCATAGGCAACTGACTACATACATGACCAGGAACGAACTTAAAAGGTTCTTCTCTTCCAGCGTTTAGCATTCAAGTTCTTCTCTTCCAGCCCCCTGGCCCCTCTTTGATAAGTCAAGTTTTCAAAACGAAAAGCAAATGACAAATATGGCCATTTCTCAAGAACACTAGCTAAGGGCCCTGATACTACCACTTGGATCTGGAACCTACATGCTGATGCTCACGATTTCGATAGTCATACTGGTGATTTGGACCAGATTTATAACACAGGCCGTTGGCTCTTTGGTATTCTTTCAACTGTTTTGCTTTCCACACATCACCAGTAGCCAATGCTGGCCTAGTTTCAGGTTTGGTAAAGGTAGTTTTCTGGTAATTGCATCTGACAGTTTTCTGCTGCAGCAACAGTCCTTCTTGAACAGACGCATACATCGCTATGGCCTGAACAGTTGTTGGTATCTGAAACTCCACCGCTGACCGTGGCTCTGATTTGAGCCCCATAATAAAGCGAGTGACTAAGAAGGTGTCACTAATCAACGGTTCATACAACCTGATTGTGTATACCAGTTGGAGGAACTTTTGCCTATACTCTTCCACTGATTCCACCTGTTTGAGGGACATCAGTTCCTTCATCCGCTGCCTGTACACATTTACATCAAATTCCTGCACAACTGCTGCAAAGAACTGTGGCCAAGTGTGATAGGCGCTGGTTTGTTTGAATGCCTGATACCAACTAGCAGCATTATCGATCAAGTACAATGAAGCGTACGTGACCTTGAAGTTGTCAGGAATATTGTATAATTTGAAGAACGCCTCACATTTATCTAACCAAATCCTGACATCACATCCATCGAAACGGGGGAAATCCATTTTGGGCATCCACTTGCGCTTGCCTGAATTTTCCTCCTGAACTGACTGCACTACTTGTTGGGATAGAGGGTTGCTGGGTGGTACCTGAACTGGACGAGGCAACACCTGAGCCGCGAACGGCGGCCTGGGGCCGAGTATGCCATCGGATACTTCCGACGCTGTCGGCTACGAGGTCTCTGGTACCTCCGGTGGCTTCCCCTTCTGCGCGATATGGAACTGACTCTGTTGTACCTGCCCCAGTGTGTCACAGGAGAGATCCACCATCACTTGGACCTGGTCGAGGCGCGTCGATTGCTCCATCAGCTTGGCGTCGAGCGCCACCAACTGCGCGCAGATCCCATCGACTACTTCCAGCTTGCGTTGCGCCTCCCGGATCTCGGCGAACTCCTTCAGCATGCGCTCCTAGAACGCCTCCATCTCCTCCGCGATGAAGCGCGTCTGCTGATTCGGCTTGAATGTCGTCGTTGTGGCCAACTGTCCCCAAATCAACCCACCTCAGATCGGGATTTACACAGATCAAGCCCTCAGGCGATCCGCGACCGTCGCCTTGGATTTACCGGGTACGATTCAGGCAAAAAAAAATTGGCGCACGGCGGAGCGAGGAGGTGGCTCTGAATACCAGATTGTCACGACTAGACTCTGAGGAGTTTCGCCGGCGACGGACTTCAGCTCGGGGTCGGGATCAGAGGAGAGAAGCAAAGGTAGGAGACAGAAACCAGAGAGGATAAGCTGGATAAACGAGAGGTAAGGTTTGAATTACAGTTTTCGATATCCCCTTCTCCAACGTTCTCCTGCTTATAACACGCAGGTTTACATGGGCTTTCTGCCTCGGCCCACTAGCCCACTATTTCCCAATTGCAGCCCGCATCGCACTTGAACCTTCCCGCCACTACTTTACGCCTTCGCCACTCCTTCTTTCCGCTTCCCTTCCCTTGCACACGCCTTTGTCATCGCTAGGGTACTGACAATGGAGATCGCTTACCTACTCATGTCATTCGGTGAGAAACCAGGGGAGACATGTCTGCTGTGGTGAGGGAAAGCGGCGTCGGCCGTCCCCGTCGGTGCCGCGCCCGATGAGTGCAGCTTGCAGCGCGGCAAGGAGAGGGGTGGCGGAGCCGACCAGAGAAAGGGAGAAGGGTGAGGAAACTGCGTCGCACGCTCGCTGTGACCTAACGCCCTGCGAGGTCGACGGGATTGGGCTGGGCTTGAACGAGTCACCGAGTTGGACCGGGCGAAACTCGGCTCGGCTCTGTCGGGAATCGGGCCTATTTTCATAGCTCGGCTCGCCTAATTATCCTATCGGGCCGAGCTCTAACGGGCCGAGCTGGAGCGAGCTTCGAGCCGAGCCTAAAAGCTCGCTCGTATGTCCAGCCCTAGGTACAGTTGATCACGACTTATCTCTATATATTACACTTCATATTAATGGTCCCACATCATGTAAATAGTAATTGTTCCACCTCAAGGTGCTCATAACCAACACCTGAGCTATCAATCAAACAGACAATCTATGTAACAAGTAATGTATGATGTGTGCCTGAGGACATTGCAACTGATTTATCCTCCTGACCGACAGTTAGCACGATGCTGACGGTGCTTATGAGCGCATGAGATCACTAGAAGAAGGAAACCAGTAGCCAGAACCCGGAGAAAGAAGACGCAGCTTGCAACAACCATGTAAAGAACGCCAGAGTGACTGAAAGTGTGAACTGATTGCAGTCCAGACGCCGGTATTCCGCGCAGAAGTTCATATCCTTCATGAAGAAAATCGTCACGCTGGCAGAGGCACAGAATGCAGAGAACATGAGAATTGCCATGACCTGCAATGCATTCACAAGTGATGTGATCACTCACATACCGTTGGTCAACCAAAAGGTAATGCAAAGCATATCAGTTGTTAAAATTTCTTGCTCATGTGGAAAATTTGTCACCAAAGTTCGACCGAGCACCAAAGGTAAACAGCAAGTCTATTTAAGGCTGTCTTATTCTCATACAGGGAGGCAAAACAAGAGCTTAGCCAATAGAGAAGCATGCGTTGCAATTATCCTGAATTTCACTTTTCGTAAGAACTAATTAATGTTGATAAAAAAAACTGGGTTAAGTTGTTTCAGTGCATGCCTTCAGTTAATCCAGGCATAGTTGCATGGACAATAGCAGTGACAAAGTGTACGACTTACCCAATCAATGATAACAAAGAACAATAGAAAATCCGGGGCATGAAGATCCCTGTTATTCCTCAGAGAAAATATATCCTGACAAGCCAAGTACAAACTCCACAAAAGCTGCAGGATCAACACTAGATTCATGTAGCTGAAATAAACAGAGACCATAATATGCTCGTTAGTTTATGTCAACAAAACACACTTAAGCTCCTGCCTAAGCAATTCTAAGAGTAATAAAGACACTTACGACTTTATGCAGTTCATAGTCTCAGTGATATGAACTTGATATGAAAAAGTTACATCATTGGCGCACAACGGCACACTTGTACAACAGTCAAGATATGTCACATGCTGACATAGAACCTCACTTGCATGATCCTCATAAATTCTTTTATCATGGGAGTAGGTATTGAATGAAACACGACGCTCTGTTGTGAGTTTCGGATGATACAAACTGGTCCCTGACTAGATTGTGCCAAGTGAATGTTAACTTGGAAAGATTCTATGGAGAGGTCAATTGGTAGGATGGCCTAACCTGCACTGCATGTTTCCTATCTTGTGTAAGTCCTCAACAAGTGCACATGCCTAGAAGTTGGGTTGTGTGACATATAATCTTTGGGAATATTCATCTTTAATATTGAACGGCAACAAGAGATTTGACACTGACAATAAGGATTCACTGGGAAACCAAAATGCTGCAGCGTACATATTAGACAAACACTGTATCTAGTCTTTCACAAAAAACATAAAGAAAAGAACACTTAAGTTCAAGTAAACTCCCCAGATTATCGACGATTGAATATAAATATGTACAATGTCGAGTTTGTAGTGCTGCAAATGGGCATAAACTTTGTAATGGAACGAAATCTACTACTACATAAACACTCTTGGAACTTGAATTAGGAAATCACCTAATAAAGTGGCATTTCCTTGAGGCCATATATTCACTACTAGGTGGGTGACGGACTGGACAAATACGCTTTCGAAGGATTGAAGGTAGTCATGGAGATATGTTTCGAAGTTTAGCAAAACGAAGCCTCCTGATTCTGCCGTATTTTGTATGTGCCAAGTTAAATGTAGATAGATACTTGTGTATGCATGATGTACTGATTAGCAGATACTATAGTTTAAGAAGTCAATCCATGTGTTCCCCAAAAAATTGGGCCATGACACCGAAGGAAAATGTGTAGTATTCGACACTAACGCCATCTAGCCTTTTGTGCATGAAACTTCGCTAAAAATTAATCTTGAAAGAAAGAGAAGAACTCCACGCAATTTAACCAAAACCTTGAAAGACCCAAAATGAAACATAGTTATATGCTTGCTACTTGAGTGATTTGCTCATGAATTTGCAAGAAAACACACAAAGGGGGAAGGAAGAATAGAAGAAACAGTTGTGGGAGAATGAAATTACAAGTAGGCGCTGTAGTTGGAGAAGCCGAAAGCGGAGCACATGGCAAGGGAAGATGCGGCGGCGAAGAAGCACTGCGACAGACGCAGCACCATGCCGCTCCATGTCCCTGGGCTCCCCACTATGCGCTTCATCCCCTGCCTCTCTCTGCCTGGGCTCTGCTCGGCTCTGCGGAGAGGTGTGAGGTGGAGAAACCGATCGATGGAGAGGAGGCTGGGCAGAATCTGTAGCACTTGCTAAGTGTGGTGTGGGATGGGAAAGGTGATGGTTATGAGCAGGAACCGGGGAGGTGGCTTAGCCGGGCAGGATCTCTTACGTGCACTCGGCTTGTGTGAGATGAGATGGGTGAAGTGAACCCATGTTGAGGAAATATCGTGCTTTGCCTGTTTTGGCTAGGGTGGAGTAGAGCCATGTGAGCCCGTCCTCTGCATTGATATGTTAACCCACCTAGCTTTAGGCTTTACCCTCGCGTCGATATGTTTTTTTTCTTCGATATGTTAACCCACCTAAGGACATTTCTAACCGATCCCCTATCCAGTGCTAGAGGAGCAGCTAACCGATCCCTAATCCGCCGTAAGGGAGTAAAAAGTATAGTCCAGCCTCTGTCCCTCCGTTATTTTTACTCCACCGCTCTCGCATGGAGTAAAAATTTCGCACCTCTCTCGCCTCCTCCTGCTGCTTCTGCGCTCAGCCGTCGGGCCTCCCATGAGCTCTGTGCCGCCGCCCCTTCCCCAGCCAAGCCCTCACCCTACCCCAGCGCCCTACCCCGGCGCGATGCCGCCCCCACGCCCGTACTGGTCGTCGTTACGGCGGCCGCCATGGACGAGCTCGGTCGCGGCCTCTGTCACGTTTGACTGGTCCATGTAAGCCATGGCCAGGTACGCCAGCGGCCACACCGCCTTGGCGAAGGCGACGACGCCACGGTAGACCTGCATCACGAACTTGGGGTTGAGGTCCTTCCACCGCGACGGGAGGCTAAGCTCGAGCTCCAGGAAGAGGGAGAGCAGCGCGAAGGAGGCGTAGAAGTGCATGTCGTAGGTGTTTCACATATGGTAATCCATCACCTCCGGGTACAAGAACTACCCCATGTTCTCGTCGCCGTCGCCAAGACACAGAGATTTTGTTTGTTGTCAGCTCCGTGCTATTCACCTGTCCATATGGTGCCTCCAGCGATCAGATAGTTGGGCAATGCAACCGGATACTTGAATACAAACATGACATCAATTGATTTAGAAGTATCGTTGACGCTGCTGGCGCAGCGCGGCCTTGGGCAGCAGTGCGGCGAGGTCTTGGGCAGCGCCGCGACGAGGTCCCTGACGCTGCTGGTGCCCTCCCGTCGAACACCCCGACTAAAAGGAAATCGGCAATGAGAAGACCGGCGACTTCAAGCGTGTCCGGTGTGCTCCTAGCCGTGTCGGCTTGGTCACCATCATCGCGGGGGCGCATAGCACGGCAAAATGCACGAGCCGAAAGTAAGTTTTACTCCGTTATATATAAAGAATCGGCTAGGTCCGGTCAAAACTTAGTGGAGTAAATTTTAGATTGTACCCTCGCATCATATGGAAAACCGCCTTTAACGATTCTAAGAGCAAACTCTAGCACGGTTGTCATATCGGGCCAATCGATATAATAACCATTGATTTTGGCTAAGAAAAACCTTAGCGGAATGGACATCCCATGCTCGATTGAGATAATTTTTGAAGGCCACTCCAAATTGAAACAAAATTAGATACACCTGCATGTGTAAATTATGTAGCCGATTTTGCAGCACATGACGAGTACCTAAAATACTATGTGAAGGGTAAAAAAAGACTCGACAAAGGCTTTGCCGAGTGTAACACTCGGTGAAGGGTGCCTGGCGTACCCCTGGCCGGCAAACCGAGATGTCATGGCATTAGAGCATCTATAACCCTTCCCCTAAAACTTAACTCCTTGGACCACCCAAAACTTAACTGCTCAAAATTTGAGGAGTTAATTTTTTTGCTCCTACCCACCCCCCTAAACTTAACTCCGTAGTTGTTTTTGAATAATTCAATATTATTTTTCATATAAAATACTCTTGTAAAACCATGCATGTCTTCTAGGGTTCAAGAGTTAAGTCCAAGGAACTACATCCTTTGATGCAATAGGATGCCTCTTGGTGGTCCAAACCATATCCCCTCCCTCGTCGCCCCCCCCCCTGTGAGAGGGCACGAAAGCCGCCTCCACCGAAACTCCCCCCTCCTCCTCCCTCGCCGTCGCCAGAGGGCGAAGCCTGGTCGTCGCGCTGGCGGCGGGTTTTTTTCATCTCCATGCACGGGGGTGTCAGCGCAGGCCTTCAGTACCGAACCTGGACGGAGTACTGCCGTAGGGCGCCACGGAGAGGCGTCGCATCGGCGGAGGTGATGGTGCACGGGTGCGGGTGCTGCGTGACGGGCTTCATGCTGGTGGCGCTCGTCCAGGAGGTGACGGTGGTCTGCCATTCGCGGCATGGTCAGATCCGTCCCTACGATGGCTTTTCCCTGGCGGAAGTGGCAGCGCGATAGTGGGGCTCGACCGTTCCTCTTTTCCTCATGTATGCATTTGGTGCAGCAACTGGTGGAAGATCCCTTTGGGCTGGTGGTGGTGGTTCTACCCGTCACGTAGGTGGCGGGGCGGGGTGGCAGGGGTGCTTCAATGGGGAGGAAGGGAGACTCCCATACTCGACCTTGCCGTGATCTGGAGGTGCCACATTGGGCGCGACGGTGATGGTGGCGTAGCGAACATCTTCATGTCTTGTTGTGCTACGTCTCGAAGGGGAAGAGCGTTTACCGAGGTGGAAATCCTCTCTGGTTCTGCGAAGCCGACGGCGGCGGCGCCTTTGGGAGTCGTCTCCTTCCTGAAGGCGTCATCGCGGTTTCTCTTTGCCCTCCATGTTGCTCTGGGGGAAACCTTGATCCTTGGATCGTGTCGTGCTGGCTCTCTGATGTCATGCCCTTCTTGAAGGTGCCGGCTTCGGGTATACAGTTCGTCGTTTCACGCTTGAGGGCTCCTGAAACTTCAAGCGGTGCTCTTTCTTCCTACATGTAATTTTCTTGGATCCTGCTTTGAGTGTGTGGTGTGGTCGAGTTGTATGGGTTGAATTTATTTTGTTCGTTGTTTTATGTATAAAAAGCGGGGCGTGTGCCTTTTTCGCAAGTCCGAGGAGCCTCTCTCTAGCTCTTAGTCTTAGCTCAACTAAACTCTAAATGTTAGCGACCATGTAGAATACTCTCTCTCTCCTTTTCTCTACTCCTAATGTCTCAGTTGGTAGGTCGCGTTTCGGATTTTATTTTCGTCCCACCTCACTCGGCCTTTTTTGGTACTTCTATGATACTTCTTCCGGGGGTTTTTCGCTGGTTTTTTATGTCCTCCCCCACGCACTAAAAAACCCTAGGCTCCTCTCGATCCCCTCGACGCACGCTCCTCTCGCCCCTCCTCTCGATCAACCCTTTTCTCTTTCCCTCATATCCCACTCCGCCGCCTTCCTCCGCCTTCCTCCGCCGCCGCCGCCTCCCGCCTTCCGCCGCCGCCGCCGCCCCTCGCCCTGCCTGCCTCATGACCCAAACCCGCCACCCCTCTGCCTCTCCCTCGTATTTCCTAGGGTGTGGATGCCGTCGCCGCCCGCGCTGCAAAATCCTTCGCTGCCATCGTCGCCGCCGCCGCAGAATCCTCTGCCGTCTTGCTCCTCCCGCCTCACCCCTCTCCTCTCCCTCCAAACCCTAACCCGTGCCCGCCTCCCTACCCCCCAACGTTGTCTCCTTCGCCGTCAGGAGCTCAGCCCGGGATGGCTGCCGCAGGGTTCCTGGCGGGCTTCCTCCTCGGCCTGCTCGCGCTCGCGGAGGCCGAGGCGGCCGCGCTGCTCTGGGTCACCTGCCGCCTCTACCACCGGCAGGAGGGGGCCGCGGCAGCCGCCGCGCAACCCGGCGACCAGGAGCTCCCCGGCATGGTTCCCACGACGGAGGTATGCTTTCTCCGACCAGGAGCTCCTCATTTACGCTTGGTTTGTTAACTGAAGAAGTGGTTTCAGGCTTCGCCTTGGTAGTGCACCTCCAGACAGAACTTGGCAAGCTTCGTAAAAGAGTGAATATGAGCAGTCAATCAGGAAATTATTGTTCTACAAGTTTGGCCGGAACAGTTTGGTATACGTTATGGGAAGAGCAAACTAAACGCATAGGAGAGTGAATCCATGCAGGAGATTGTTTTGCGGTGTTCACTGAGTCTTGCGTACTTTATTGCTGAATAATGTCACCATTTGTAATTACATCATAGACTATGGACCTAATGGTGTTCCGATTTGTTAATGCAGGGGAAGCTAGAGGCAGAGAACCGTCGGTCTTGCATATGTCAGTGACGGTCGTTGATCAGGTTGTTGCGCGCGAATGACAACAATTGATTCATAACGAACCAACATGTAGGACATGCCGTTCAACCTTCTTATAGAAGTGAACAATCATTTCCAGAGCATTATATTAGCTGGACTTTTTATGAGGTATGAGCAAGTTGAGAGTTTCGAGTGGGTATATTTTCTGAGTTCCTAAATATGATCAGTGGGCCGGCGCCAAAGTCCATCTTGACAGGTAGGTAGATTGAGATAATTTGTATGTCTCAAGGTTGTTATCTGGTTCATTAGTGTGCCGAGGCTCTGTAGATCAAAACAGAGCCATGAAGGTTGCTATGAGCAAACTATGTCCAGGGAATTGAACAACTATAGCTCACCTTGGATCAAAACAGAACAATTGATTGCAAGTGAAGTCTTGGGTATGTTTAGCTGAAATTTGCTGAAGTGAGCACTCGTGGGTAGTAACAGCGAAACCATCGTGTATTTGCCCAAGTGTTCAGTCTTTTAAATTGTTTGGGAAATGGTTAGAACTAAAAGATCGCCTTCATTTAATATTGATTTTGAGAGTAATGTTTTTAGAAACTTCAGACTAATTCGGAGGTGAGGAGGATGACGACGCCACTGCACCGTCGCACACCTCCATAAGGCGAGGACCACGCAGTCGCCGGGGCGAGGAGCCTACCTCTGCGCCACTCCATGAGGCGAGGGGCTCCCCAGAACTGCTGCTCCATTATGCTCCTCTCTTGAGGTATTTGTTCTTCAGCTTGAGAATTATTGTTCAGCTCCTGCACATAG